ATATGTGAAGGAGGAATGAGGCTTGAGGCATTTGAATGGGTGAGGGGTGTTTGGGGCTGAGGGAACCAAAGAAAGAACAAGAGTTTCAGGAAGTGGGTTCAACTGCAGGTGCGGTCTCTGAAGCAAAGGGGAGGGTCCTATGGAGTGGACCAGAGAGGTCCTCCAGGCTGCCTGACCGGGGGGGGGGGGGGGGGGGGGGGGGGGGGGGGGGGGGGGGGGGGGGGGGGGGGGGGGGGGGGGCGGGGGGGGGGGGGCTCAGGAAGATGAGTTGTGGGAGGAGGGGCCGCAGGAGAGTGGGGTCCGTGCTGCCCTGGGAGAGGAGAGCCAGTCTGAGGACAAGAATTGCTGTCCCGGGGTCTAGGAGGAGGGGCAGGGATGAGTAGCCAGTTAGGGAGTGTTCTGGAATGATCTGAGAGGGGAGGCTGCAGTCCTGGGGTCCAGGAGGAGAAGCAGAGAGGAATCTCAGCTGGGGTGTGTTCTGGAATGATCTGAGAGGACAAGGTGATTAGAGCACAGAGGGTGAACAGCTGGGGTCCAGGAGGGGTTAGTCCCTGCTGGGGAATGTTCTGGAATGATCTGAGAGGAGAGATGCTGAGAGAGGGGAGGCTGCAATCCTGGGGTTCAGGAGGAAGGCGAGGGGCAGTCCCTACTGGGGAATGTTCTGGAATGATCTGAGAGGGGAGATGCTGAGAGAGGGGAGGCTGCAGTCCTGGGGTCCAGGAGGGGTGGAGTTACCTGGTTCTGGAGGAGGAAGGGCCTCAGGACCCACAGGGTGGACCCCTCAGGACCTATTTTTAGGGGTGCGGTGGCTCTGAAATGTGAGGCAGGAGGAGGTCAGGGGACTGTGCTAGGGTCAGCACACGGAGTGCGCGAGGTGAGGAGGCTGTTCGCTCCTCTGGACAGTGGGTTTGGGGCAGGGCTTTGTGGGTTAGGGCGCCCGCCCCCCGGGAGCGCGTCTGGGGGCGTCACTGACCCCTGGTGGCGCCGGGCGGGACGACGACGGGGCGGGCCGCCAGGGCTCCGGGTCAGTTGGCTCCCGGAGCCGCGTGAGTCCGCCTGTCTGTCTGTCCGTCTGTCCTCCCGCAGTGGGCTCGGCCAGGGCGCCCCGCCGCCGACGGCATGGTAGGTCGGAGGGGAAGGCACGAGGGTCACGGGGGGCAGGGCCGGTTGTTTCGGGGCTGCCGCGGCGACCTTCCTGGGTTGGGGGTCCGGGTCCGGGGCAGTGGGGGACCCCGTGCAGACGGTGTCGGGGGAGGCAGGGAGGCTGCGGGGAGCTGCGGACCTGCACGGAGGGCCGGGGAATGCACCCGAGGACGCACACCCCAGTCAGACCAAAGGACTGGCGCACCCCAATCAGACCTGAGGGCGCACACCCCACTGAGCCTGAGGGGAGCGGTGGGGGCCTGGACTCCGCCTTGCCCTTTCCACCTGGGAAGTAAGGACCGTGCTAATCAGAATTGAATGTAAAATTATATCACACACCTGAGAACTTGACCGTGACCTCTCATGGACCCTTCACTGTGCCTCAATTCCTAAGACTTCCCATTTTGCAGATGGCAAGACTGAGGCACTGCGTGGGGATGTCACAGCTAGAGAGTTGCAAAGCTGATCAAAACCTATTAGCTCCGTGGTCGGGCTTCCTAGTCATTCATTATACCCAGGAGATGGGGATAGAGATGATGATTAGAAAAACCACACGTGGACAGCTTTAACAGACATAAGCCAATTCTTTTGTGGTTTCATTCATTGATTGCTGTCCAGTTAGAACCGACTCATAACTGACCCAGACCCAGACTTTCAGAGGCTGTAAGTCACTCAGGAGGTGGCAGCTGGTCCTTCTCCCTGAAAGCAGTTGACAGATGAGAACTGCCTGTGCTTGGGTTGGCGGGGGCTACTTCCTACCGGCCAGGCTATCAGAATTCCCTGTGGTGGTGGTGTTGTTGAGTACCTATGACCCATAGCTTACCCTCTATTAGGTTTTCAGAGGCAGTAAATCCTATAGTAAGAGACTGCTCTTTAGGAAACAAAAATATTCTGGGCGTTGGCTCTCGGGAAGGTCTGTGTCTCCGTCAGCCTCTGTGGGCTTGGTCTTCCTGGAAGGGCTCTCTCTGTGCGGCCATCAGTCTTCCCTTGAATCTAAGAGGTTGACTTAATGACAGTTATTTGTTTTATTTTGTTTTGTTTTGGTTTTTTTTTTTTTT